AAACTACTAAATAAAAACTATATACACAGAGAATGACTGCAGTTATACAAAGTAAAAAAAAATGCAAGCAGTTCCAGTCTTACCTGTGCCAAAGCATCTTCATGAAACTTTTCAAGGACGCTGGCATCATTGTAATCGAGGAGTTCGCCGCTCTCTGTGTCGGCATGGTCCTGGGGTGCACTGTTCAGGCTACCCGTTCCCACTGCGCTGCCCGGCTCCCCAGCGCCTTCTATACAAAACGATGAATAAATCTTCCATGTATAGTTGATGGTCTAAGATACCTGACCCTCTAGCAGTCTTAGAACGATAACGAAACCTTTAATTCTGAGAGTCGTATTCCAGAACTCTACTCAATACTCAAGTCCGGACTTGAGTATTGCAGTGAGCACTGAAAATCATACTCAAGTCCTTGCCATTAGGGTCGTATTTCCAGTGCTCGAAATCATACTCAAGTCTGCTTAAATCCTGACTTGAGCATTGAGTAGAGTTCTGGAATACGACCCTGAGAGTCATTTTAGGCATTGAACAGAAAAGTGTTAAAGGTATTCCAGCTTAAACGCGAACGTTTGAATCGCGTTATCGCGCGTCATCTGCGCGTAGCCGGTGTATAAAATACGCCATGTGCTTGGGCTCTTTTTACACGCTATTTACTAATTATGCGATCAGGAAGTCATAACAAAATGAATTTAACAGTTCACAAGTTAAAGGTTAAATTTATTTAACACTTAGGAAATGAAACTATTTTTCCGGATTTAAATCGCGTATATTTGATTTTTCAAACAAACCAACGTTTCGGGCCCTTTACAGGTCCAATGGTCACGGTTTACTGACAACCTTGTTCCTTCACGTTTGTCTACTCAGAGGCAAATCTGTCGTAGGATCTGACACGTATAAGTAGTGGATCGGCAGGCTTGGGCGCGCGTTTTGTGTGCAAATCTATAGAAGATAGATCTAATAATACGTCTGTAGTGATTCCAAGACTGGATCGACTAAGACTTTGTAACGATGGGGCACTAAAAAAAATACACATTTTATTTTTACCTACTAAACCATTCGATTTATGGCAAAATGTGATATGACAATATTTAATTGGGACAACAGGATCTCTCGATTAGCATTTTTTTTAGAGAGGTATCGTAAAAAATATTCAATGTCCGCAATATCGCTGATCCGACCCACTGTGTCGCAAAGTTAAGATAAATATAGTGTATCTGCTTGTCCTCCGATTCCTGGTCATTTTACAACGTCTTAAAAAAAAACAGACTATAGGTTATGGGCCCAGAAATAGTAGAAAACTTAAAAGCAAACATCCGAGATCAGTTAGTACTCCGAAATAAAAACTATTTGCATTTGTGTGGTCTGTTTCTGTCTAATAATGGATCCAGTGTCATATGTCATTGTCACTTACCTGGAAGTCTGTTATTATAATCTATGAAGCAGCCACTCTGTGCTGATGTCCCACCATTGTACTGTCACCAGAGGAATCACTCATTGTCACTAACCAGTAAGCTTGTCGTCGGTATAAGCCATTGTCCCGAAGCTGCCAGCCCGGGAGCTTTCAGAGTCGGACCTGGCCCGGACCAGCCATGCCTGCTCCTCCATCGCGCTCACGGGTTACAGGGGGAGGGAGAACCGGACACATCTGGAATTTTATAAAGTTTAAGGCAGGGTTTCTTTCTTCTTTTTCTAGTCATGGACCCCTCTAAAAATTTCAGAGCCCACTGACCCTTTCCAAATCGAGGTTTAGCTTTATTGTTCATGATTAAACTTTACATATGAATAGTTGGCGTGACGGTTAATGCTGCTGCGTATGCTGAATTAGACCCATCAAAATAATCTTCATTTCTTAGGCAAGCATTATTACACTTCAAATCGTCACATTGGTTAAACTCTACCTCTCATTCATACGGCAGATTCCCCTAAGAAGAATGAGCAAGAAACACTACAGGTTACTCTTTGTAAATAATATTTGTACACATTTCATATTTACAATTTTTTTTTTTTTCAAACATTACAGATTAAGGGTCGTATTCTAGAACTCTACTCAATGCTTAAGTCAGGACTTGAGTATGACTCAAAGCACTCGAAATCATACTCAAGTCCCTGCCATTAGGGTCGTATTTCCAGTGCTTGTGTTGCCAGTGCAATCCTGACTTGAGCATTGAATAGAGTTCTAGAATACGAACCTGAGACTACCTCCATGAGCTAAATGGGTTACTACCACGGATTTTTATCATCCAAGTACACAGAAGTTGTATAATGAATTCTTGATTAGAATGTCAAAGGTGTTGATGTTAAAGGCACTAATTACGCGTTTCGCTCGCTCCAATAATGGATGGCCGTCAAAGGGCGCGAAAATTCAAAAAGGTCACGCACACAGTACCTATTTTATAAATAAAATAATAAATATTCAAAACATACTGTTTACCTATTTTTATATTAATACATTGTGTTAGGTAGGCTCAGAATGCTGACATTGACAGGGCATTGTGGCTTAAACAAGCATATGTCCAATATTCAGCAGAAAGAAAACAGATAATGTAGATTCTGCCATGAGGTAGATGAAACTCATGTGCATCTCCTCACCCAGTGCTGCCCTCTAAAGGACATAAAAACTGTCAGAGCCAGGAAAGTCCTTCAGTTCCTTAATGCTGTTGGCCTAGGCTCTGAACTGTAATTAATGTTGATCACAATACATCAGTCAATGGTCGCAGTGATGATGCCCTGAGTGAAGCCACCCTAATAATACAACAAATACAAATACAAATAATTTATTGGCTATAATTGGCTGTAATAATAAGGATATTATAATAATAATAATATCCTTTGCTACTTCCATGCAGTGTGGTCCTGGTGTCAAAAAGATGTTGTCCCCCGTCTGGTCCTTGGTCTTCCTATTTTTCTTTTACTGTTTGGACCCTTACATTCAATCAACAAATAAAATTAAGAGTTATGATTTTTTCTTAAAAAATTACTTTAAATCCCTCTACTCTAGTGTAATATTTTCCAAATACACGTTAGACATTTTACCTTTTCAGCATTGATATGACCCAAAGGGTTAATAATTATTTATTACTCATTTTTCACTCTTCTTTAGATTAGCTAAAACAGAATGTTCTTCTTAAATCTTGAATATACAATATGTACCAGATCATAAGCGTGTGAAGCGTGACACCCAGATTTAATATTGACTGTTTTTATAAATGCTACACATACGAAAAAAAAACTATTTTTCAAGTCCAAATCATGTGCTATTTGTTTTTTCAAACATGGCAACATTTTGGACTATTTACGGGTTCCATTGTCACATCTGACTGGCAGACAATCCGCTATATTACCATCCCAAGATTTAATTGTTCATTTTAATATATGTTTGTATGTGTGTATGTTTTTAATATATGTGTGTTCATTTTAATATATCATTTTAATATGTTCATTTTAATTAATATTATGAATCAAGCAGTGGTGTACAGAAAAACCTGCAATAGGTTTATGAGACACCACTTCTACTATGTACCTTATTTTAAGTTATATTTGTAATAAATAAATAAATAAATAAAAATTTCGACTCCACTCCACTCAAGATAAAAACAGTCCAACATAATAAGTTTGACCTGCTTTTGACTGTGTCAAATCAAGTTTTGTGTGAATGTGACTTAGTTGTTTTATGTGACGATTCTGCCAACATAAGGATTGGAAGACTCATTGCCCATGTTGATACAGATTGACAGTTTTTTAAAGGTTTCTGCAGTTATTAAGTATCAAGAAATAATGATGATGATAGATAGGGCAAAGGGTCATAAGTACAGACTACTTTATATTTTTTATTAAAAATAAGTGCGCATTTGACTTCCATCTCATCAATGGAAATGCACACCTAAATATTGCCTATGCACTGGCAAGAATTCATGAAATATCCACAACAAAGGGATGGAGCCCCAGCCTACACTTTCATTTGACTTTTCTGACTTAGCAATTTTTGTACTAACACTCCTCAAATAATAAATTAATTGTCACTATGTCACAACACTATGATAAACATTTGCTCCCTATCTATAATATTGTAAAAATAACTAGTACACAATCTCATAGATAAGGGTATTAGATATTAAATGTAGTAACGCATTTAAAAAGTATGTGTAAAAAAATGTCAAGACTAATTTCTATGTTCAATGAAGTAATAACAGACTAAATTGGGCAAAAGATAGGATATGACGAGATAAAGGTGACTACATCGCGGTGGATGATTAACCAATTTAAAAAAAATGTGGGGGATATCATGATACCTACAGTTTCGTCTAACACATTTGAAGTTTTTATATCATAGATAGTTGAGCTTATTTATTACAGGATACACTTTTATTCACCGAGAAACTAGAGCAGTACCCTTTGGCTAACTCTACAGCTTCTAATTAATAAGATTTACATAGCTAAATTATAAAGAAATCGATAATAATCGTTATCAAATTATTCATAACACAGCGATCTAAATACCATTTCATACTTACTTTAAGCACTTTTATCAACAAAACGTAGTTATTTTACACTGAAATGCCTGGCGATGCTAATTTTGTACTATTTCCACAAATTACAAGCGAAATTCACGAAAAATACAAAACAAAAAATACTACGGCATGTGTCACTTGACGCTTGAAAAAAAATCTTGTGCCTGTATTATGATTACAAATTCAAAATTCTTAGAACCGATCATCGGTCTCTTTCATTTCCGCCCAGTACTCGTTAGTATGAATAAATAAAAACAAGAATCCTTGTGAACTAACTAAATTAGTCGTACTATGATTGAATGAATGCGTTCTTTACTTCGTTTATAGTGCTGTCAATCAACCATCAATCAACTGCGAACTGTCAATTCAAATTAATGACACTAATTGTGCTGTAATTAATTCCTAATTAATTCGTATTCCTATAAAAACGGTCACCCGTAACAAGCGCTCTCATCTATGGTGAAGCTATAGTCCAACACACTGACTAAATATGCAATGGACACTTCAGAATATGTATCTGACGTGTATCACCGGGATATGTTTTATTGTGTAACTGTGGCATAATTAAGCAACAGCTCATTATTCCAACTTCTTTGATGATTTTGATGATTTACATTTGGATACAAAAGCATTTTCAATTCCATTCTCGTGTTATAGACCTTGAACTACACTTCACACAACACAATCGATATTTTTGCAACGACAAGCTATGAGAAATATTTTTTGAAAAACCTGTCCAAGTAGCTTTATATTTGGATTTGCGCTATTTATCTAAAATGCAAGCACACAAACGAAAGACAAAGAAAAATAAAGTAGAATACACTACAAAATCAATTAGTTACACTTACAATTTTGAAGCATTAAGCAATTTTTCTCGTCTATTTTTTATTCTATGTTCTTATTTACACTGAAAGCCGTGCTACACTCGTGTATAAACATGAAAATATAATGTATTATAAACATTACATTGTGATTATTTTATCGTTGGTGTCAGGTGCAATATTTGCAATAAAATAATATCGTTTAGAACCTGCAGCACAATTTATGGAACCACATTGTTTTGATTAATAAGTAGAAGTTTATCACATTAATAATTCAGGAAATAGATGAATAAGTTAACATTTTGCAAAACGTTCATAACATGTTCACCCAGTTTTGCAAAGCGTGATACACAAGAGATTAAACTTTTTGGAACAATTAAATATTTTTAAAGTTTCTACTCGAGTTAAAATATTAATTCAACGCTATCGGAAATCTAGCAAAGTGCATTTAATTGATTTATGGTATTGTATTCTTTGATACGTCAACAAAGATTCCCGAAAGCAAAAACTCTCAATACTTTAACACATGATCGTGCAATACAATCTCATGTATAACATTTCGAACCAGCAGAGTTTAAGGTCAAGAAAGAGACGAATAACACATTTATATTGCGATGAAAAGAGACAAGGTTATGCGAGATATTGAAAAATCAAGGTAACGTAAATGATATTTAATCGTCGGACAAGAAGCAGGATAAGATTAAGAAGCTAAGATATTAAAAATATTAATCATAATAAAACATTGTTTAAATATTAAGAATACTTTGCTTTCATTTTATTTCTGCATAGTTACTTTGAAAATTTGTTTTCTTAACAATATTATAAGAATTTCGTTAAAATAGGATTAGTTGATAGTATTTCATAATGTAGCCTTGGTGAAGGGATACAAACAATAGTTGCTATTCCATTAAAATCAGCAATCATATAAAGTTGATCCGAAATTAAATATTAATCTCGTAACAGTGACCCCTTGTGTGTTCGCTTTATCGATTTCTTTTAATTTCACGCACTGCGCAGGAAAGGAGTGTTTGCACATGCGTGGAAGTCGTTTCAGATAGTGAAAAAACTTAATAAAAATCTAAACCTAAGGATATTTTGTATGAAAAAGTACCTGCTTAAATAGTAGTTTTCAAAACAATAATAAATTATGCATTCATTTATATTTTATCCATTTGGCAATCGTTGAACCATCTTGGACTAGACTATGTTAAATTTTCAAATTGACAACACCACTTCTTCTAACAAAATAGAAATTAATGTTGTATAGCTTTACGATGGTGTAGTAAATAGTTATCGGCTTAAAGGAATGGAAAGAATGAATGATTTTCTTGTAATTAATGTCAATGTCAATAAATGGCGCGAAAAGAGAAGTGTCGATTTGTTTTGTTTACATAGGAAATTCATCTATTCTGCAGTAAAAATGCGTGAAATAGCAAACAAGTCAACTTTCCAGCAAATTAAGTTAGTAAGGAAGTATTTAAAGCTGAAAGTGCTCGAAGATAACATTACATTTAGGAAGCACGAGAAAGCTAGAACTCATGTATACGATATAATGCGGAGGACTATTTCTGCTGGTGAATCGCACTCTGCTCTTATGATAGGACCTCGGGGAAGTGGTAAAACCACTGTGAGTACGCTTTTCTATGAATTATCAGGTTTTTTTATATTTTTGATATAGAAGTCGGAGGAGATAGTGGAGTATATCAGACGTAAAGCCAAATACACCGAGTGTCGAGCGGTCGGAGTCCCGCCACAATGTTAATTTTAATTCGTTTGTGATGAGAGTACCGACTGAACATATTTCAACCTTCACGAAGGAAGAATTTTGGCCGAAGGGTCATGTATTCGACGATTGCGCGACCGGTTACTTGACACCAGATTGCGCCACACGACAAGTGCAATACGTGTAGATTAGTTATTTAGTTCATTTTATTGTTACATTGTATGTATGTTAGTCCTTAAGGTATATATTACATGACCTCAAAATCATGTACGTCAATAATTTAAGACTATAATTTGCGTGTACTTTGTTTAGCACTCCGTCAATTCCTATTGTTGTATTTGTAAGCCTTTAGGTCTGCAACACTAAAATTCATAGCTCACGACATAAGCTGGCTCTCTCTGCACAGCCACAAAATTTGTTGAATAATTGATCTTGATAGCGGAACAGGACACTGGTGAAATTTCAAAAGGGCACTGCCTACCTTTCAGTAACCATCAATTTGTCTCAAAATAGCACTAATGCTGACGAATTGAAAATTAAGAGCCGAGCCCCGCCGATCTAAGGATATGCTGGATTTTTTAGCTCCAAATGGTTTTAGTTCTGAATGAGTCATGCAATCTCTTCAAATGATACTGCTTATCAATGGGTGGCATTGAATAGACCAGAAAACGCCTAAAAAGTTTCATTTACACAATTTCATTCACTATATGCATGGCAATTCGCCGCACTGGCAGCAGATGCTCACACACCATCCTGCGTATGAGCCACATATGGAGTCCTGCATGATGCATTGCAGGATAATGAATGCCCCCTTTAAGTTAATAGATGTGATTTTATTCAGAATTACTGTACATTTCTTTATTTAGCTTATTATTTTTATCCAGTATTAGTGTACATCTTTTTTATCTACAGCATTCAGCAATCATCACGATCTGTATAATTAGCAATCAGGTGTCCCTCAAGGTTCAATTCTACATCCATTTATATTTTTAGTTTATATTAATGACTTGCCTAGCCTTGTGGAGGGTATAGAACTTGATATGGTATTATTTTGCAGATGAAATTTCCTTATTATTTAAAATTAAAAGGCACCAATGTTCCTATAACGATTTGAACAATGCTATATCTAAGGTAGTAGATTGCTTTGCAGGTAATAACCTGTTCCTTAATGAGAAAAAAACAAATTTTGTGAAATTTACATTACCTAATGTTAGACAGACGGTCACAAATATTATAATTCGAAATATTAGTAACCTTTTAGAAACGGTTGTATTTTAAGGTATAACTATAATGTTATAATGGTATAACTATAATGTGTAAAACTAAATTGCAATGGGGTCCACATATAAGTAAGTTATTGAAATGGCTCAGCTCTGCAGTGTAAGCGGTTTAAAAAATACAAAAATTTTCTGATGTCAAAAACGCTAGATTGGTTTAATTCAGCAAAGTCAAATAATGATTTATTCCATAGGTAAAATAAATTTACACTTGAAAACGTCACTTTTAAGCTACTGTTGGATCACTATGCTGATTTCCCTGAGAATAACGAGCAAGAAATTCTAGAAATTGCTTTTTTCAAATAAATTTAAAAGCTATGGAATATATTTTGAATCAGATTTGTGTCGAATGTAGAACTATGTCGTCTTTCCATACATCTTTATCTAACACGTAGTCATGTACTTTTCAATTTAAATCTTTTTAATGTGTAGTGTGAGCAATTGAGCATGCTATATGCACACTCTCGCACATCTCTATTATTATATAAGCAGAATATATTTGTAACTGAAGGCCGAATAAAACTAACTACTATCAACCACGACGGCCTTCTTGTTCCAACATCGCACTAGCCTGTCTACAAATCGTAAGGTAATGACGGTGCCGCGGAAATTAAGAATCTTAATTCTTGTGGAGTGATAGTTATTAATTGTACTACCTTGTTTGTCATGTCATTAGTACATAATTGCAATCTTAAATGATGTATTCCAGCCATTGTTGGGTGTTAATCAATTAAATTTCAATCAATAATTCAATCAGATTAAAAAATCAATTCAATTGAAATTGATTTAATTGCGATTGATTTTAATTGCAATTGATTTTAATTGCAATTGATTTCAATTGAATTGATTTTAATTGCAATTAAATTTGCAATTATAATCAATTCCGGCCGGTTGGGGGCCACGGTTGGGGGGCCCAGTTGGGGGGTCCGTTTGGGGGCCCCCAACCGGCCCCCCAACCGGGGTTCCCAAGCGGGGTTCCCAACCGGGCCCCCTAACCGAGGCCCCCAAGCGGGCCCCCCAACTGGGCCTCCAACCGGGGCCCCCTAACCGGGGCCCCCAAGCGGGCCCCCCAACTGGGCCTCCAACCGGGGCCCCAACCGGGCCCCCCAACCGGGGCCCCGAACCGGAGCCTCCAACCGGGCCCCCCAACCGGGCCCCCCAACCGGGCCCCCCAA